GGGAATGAAAAGTTTAAAAATAGTGCTAAGTAATTATGAGTACTATAAAGAAAAAACTTCACACCATTTAATAATTTAAAACTCATTTTCACCTTCCTTCTCATAACCAAGATATTATAATTTGTGATTACCTATCTACATAAAGGGTTAAAATTCTGTAAGTTCATTTTGCTAACAGAAATATAGTTGTACTTCCTCATTCAGAAAGGCCTTAAATGGAATAAGCAGATTTTAGAAAAATAAATTAAGGGAGATTTAATTAAGGCCTATCAGCATGAGACCCTAGCAGATTGTGATCAACAGGAAACGAAAAGGAATGAGGCTCGAAATCAGGCCAACACTGCTTATTATTTCAGAAAACAGGTGTGGGCAGAAGAGTGAATGTGACTAGATTAAGTTTTATCTGGTGATTTTCCTTATAAAACAAATGTTCTCACCAGCAAATATAATTCAGAAACAACGACACCTGACCTGGGATTACACACAAGACTGTGGAGGCTTTGTGCTGTTCAGTCAGGGACAAATTGGTTCATTAGGATAGTGAATTTTTTTCCTGATAACTCAAATATATTTACTGTAGAAATTTTAGAAACTACAGATTAATACCATGAGGAAAACAGAAATCATATATAATCCCACCACCCAAACGTAAGTACTATTAACATTTGGTTTATTCTCCACCAATAAAGTTGTTTCTGTACATAATCATTAGATTTTTTTTTCAAAAGGATGACATCGTTTTGTAACTTACTTTTTTTCATTACTCATATCATTAACATTTTTCCATATCACTAAATAGTCTTCCTAACAACCTCACACATTTTGATTTGCTTTGCATGTTTGTTAATGTGATGTGTGAAAATAAGGTAACTTACTGCATTGCTGAGTTTTCTTCGATTAGGTGAACATCCCTTGCCCCCAACCTTAGAAAAGTCGATTGTTTTCCTTTGTGAATTGCCCATTTAAGTCTATTTTTCATTGGGGCTCATTTTCTATAGGGGTGTTCAGCAATCTCTCACTGCTTTTTACAATATCTTTTGAAAAGGGCATATTGAAATATAAAAGTGGCATATGAAATATAAAGTCTGTTTTTTAATTTTGGTTATGGTATTTCGTGGCGATATTTTTCAATGGTATTTTTGCAATTATAAAAATAACAGTTGTTGTAGAAGATTTGGGAATGTCAGAAAAAATATTAAAAATATAAAGTTATAACTCTACAACCTAGAAATCCATTTCTTTTTTTGCATGTGATTTATCTGTGGTTATGTCTATTGGTGCAAACAGGAACTTGAATGCAAGTGGGAAGTGCAACAGTCTTGTTCAATGTTGTTCAACATTTGTTAATTTAGAACAATGTGTGATATATAGTAAGAGCTTAAATATTTATTGAGTAAATGATATTTTATATATATTTGTAGTTCAAAATTATATTCTACACATTCAAAATAATACAGTATTAAATCTTGCTTTTTTCACTAATACATTGCCAGGATCTTTCTAAGTCAGAAATTAAAAAATATATATATTTTGGAAACTGAATTTTATCAATATAGATATATAATGCATTAATTTATTTTAAAAGTTTGCTATTGTGGGCTTAACTTTGTTTTAATTATTTTTTTCTATATCACAGATAACACGGTAATGAACATATTTATAAATCTTTATATGGAATTCGGATGATTTCCTTAGGATATATTTCTAGACCCAGGATTATTGAGTAAAAGGCTATAAACATTTACAAATTTTAGTACATAGTCCCACCTCAGATAATTGTATGAATATCCTCTTCATTGAGCAGCACAAAAGAGATTCCATTAAGGCCACAGTTCAAATTAGTACCACTGTTACTTCTTACTCTAATAGTGATGCTAGAGTCATGAAAAGAATTGTTTCTATGGCTAAGATGATTTCTGAAATGAAATAAAACCATCTAAAATAACAGGAAGGGAATAATGTTTTCAAGAGAATACACTCACAACAAACCTCTTCTAAGTGATACGGAAAGCTGCTAGAACTAACGACCAGGAAATAACAATAGCATCCAACACACACGTAACTGTTCCAAGACTTAATAAATCGAGTCTCCTTTTCTCAAGCACTGACAAGCTTTAAATTTATTATCACTGATGCACTGGGTTTTGAAAATACCTAAGTGACCTTGCCTGTAGCATTTTCTTTGAATTTCCTTCATTAAAAAGACTACTTCAGACTAAATCAGACAATAAATAAGACATGTAATGAAGGCTCAAATATGTAGGCATTTTTTTTAATCTTTTAATTTTAAAATAGATTCTACGAAGTATTTGCCTAACAACGAGTCATCTCTGTTCCATTGTAATCAAATTCTGAGCATTTCCTTTATTTTGAAATAAAAATAAATGACATGCTATTCAATTTCTATTTAGTTGCTAAATAATTGTATTAAAAAGTATTCAGTTTTTGCTGTGCAAAGGACAAACATTCCTGACTTCCTGTTTTAGAATGCTTAGGTTCTCCATCTTTTTCATACAATTTAACAAATGTTAAAGTAACAATTCATTATTTTTTTTACCTCCTTAAAACTTTTGAATGTTGCTGTTTTCCAACATATACGGGCATCCTCTGCTTTTCAAATTTTGTGTTATGGCACTGGTTTTTACAAAAGATCTAATTTAGTAACTGTTTTTGCTAACCAAAAGAAATTGAAGAGGATTTTCACATTTATGAAAAAAGGCGAAAAGCAAAAAGAGCATTAAGTTTTTCAGTGAGCCTTTATAGAGGCAGAGGCACCCCAAGCAGCAAGAGGGCCTTTCCCAGGGAACTATATTCAGCCTCTCAGCATTAGCTTTGAACTGCATCTGTGTGTATATGTGCTGTATCTCAATTTATTTTGTGCACCCATTAGCAAGGTGTCTCCTAAGGTATCAGAAAAGACTGAGTGCTCGTAATGGTGTTACACTTAGTGTAAAACTGGACAAAATTAAGAGTATTTGGGGGGAGTGGAATCAATGGAAGTGTAATAGATATGTATGATATCAGGGGTGGGGGAGCGGCGGATTGGGGGAGGAGGGTTGTCACTTTGTGAGGGGTGAAAAGTATAACTATTGCATTGTTTTGTACACTTGAAACTAATAAAACAAAGAAATAAATAAAATAAAAAAGAGTATTTGGTATGATTTGTTAGGTTATTTTCAGGGGTCTGGGAAAGCTCAAGATTTTTCCCATATAAATTAATGGTAACTGCTTCTTTGCTTTAGGCCATTTTGGCTTATGAAAGGTTTCATAACAATGCTCTACTTTTGAATGGTGGAGGAAACATGTATAATATCAACCTAAATAAAGAAGCAAGCTGAAAATTGTCATAAAAAAAAAGAGATGAGTTTAATCAGGAATAGGAGAGGAATTGCAATTTGGGACACACAAACTGTAGCAAGCTACAAGAAAATCTGCTGAGGGTTTGGGGTAGGCTGTATATATGGGCGGGGAGAGTTCAGTTAGTCTGTTAAAATAAAAACAAATAGAGACCAGCTTTGAAAATACTTCCAGCAGACAAAACCAGTCCAGTCACACAAATAAAGCTCAATTTAGCCCATTTTTGCGAGTCCAACCCAGCCTGGGTCATTTCTTGTTCATGTTTCTGGATACCGGTTTACAAGCTTATGGTTATGAGCAAAACTGCCAAGGTTGAGATGAAGCAACCTCTGATTAAGTCCCTAGTAGTTAAGAAAATTCAACATTATCAGTTTTTTGTAAATCTGGCATTTATGGAAAATCAGTCTCTCAGTCCTTAAATTTTGTTCTCCTAAGGGCACATGTGTGAGATTTCCCATTTTATATCCTCTGGTTCCATTTTGGATTGAAATCCTTTCACAACAATACCATCTCATTTTGATAAAAAACCAATTATCTCCGTGTAGGCATGTAATATGCATTTGTAATGAGAACAGAAAAGAATCCAGGAGGAGACATTGCCTTTTGGGGTAGACTGTTGGGGGGCTCACACTGGAACAGTGAATGAGTTTACTCTGTTACAATGATCATGTGTTACATATTTGCTCTTAACAAGCCAACAAAATGTGGCCTAGCCAGGTTTAAAAATAATTATCTCCTTCGGAGTTACTTTTCTGATACAGTATGTAATATTGGTGGATAAGAAGCCAATCTTTCTGGGTCCTTATTTCAAGGCTGATTAGAGTCTTGACTGGCATTGACTATAGGAAAAACAGTCCTATAGATGAAAGATGGAGAGACTCGGCTCTTATTTAGATCACATTCTAAATCCCCGTGTTAACATACCCATATGATTAGGAGTAGTTAAAATATATCCCTTCTAAAGACACAGGGAGCTCAGCCCTCCAGACGGGAGGGTGTCAGTAACCGGCTAGATGTTTCTCTGCTGTACATAGTAAAGTGTGACTATATGTTTTATAGTGTAAGATGAAGGATGCTCCAAACAACAATTAAGTTCTGCAAACTTAGTGCTTGCTGGGAAGAATGCCGGCGGCTTTGCAGTGCTTCCTGAAAAACTATTTCCGAGCAACTCCAACACAACTTTTCCCTCTGAAGGAATCAACCCATGGTCTTTCAACTCCCATCCTCTTCACTGCCTCTGAGATAGGAGCAAAATTGCTTTAAACTGCTGGTTTTCAAAATGAGACAAAGATAAGGGTGTGTGTTGTGTGTGTGTGTGTGTGTGTGTGTGTGTGTGTGTGTGTGTGTGTGTGTGTGTGTGTGTGTGTGCGCGCGCGCGCGCGCGCACACACAGTTTACCTTTTCACAAAACCTAGCATTTACAATAAAATAATTCCTCTTTTGAATCAAGTGACTAAAAATTCTCTCTCTCTCTCTCTGTTCAACAACAGCCCTAAAATCTAGTTTGAGCACGTTATCAAACCTGAGCACAATTATTGGGTGAGGGGGAGAGGAAGAGGAAAACAGAGAAGAAACAGAAGCGGAAAAAGAATTGATAGTGAAACAGAAGGCCGGGAAACAGTCAAAAGGTTTCGTTCACTTACCCTTACCAATTTCTCCCTCGGCACACATCACAGCATGACGATCCTGAGTCCCACGGTGCAAGAGAAGAACTAAGCGAAGAGTGAAGACTGGTTATG